GGGGGGGGGGGTCTTATTACACAAGAATTTGTGGGGTGCTTCGCGGTAAGTGTCCTCATCCTTTAAATTAACTCTGCCACAAGCAGACCATCTGTGTTGAATGTAGAGTGTTTACATGAGTAGGTGATCGTGAAAAATAATAGCAGAACATTTCGGTTCATCGCCCCCTCGATTTAATCTCCGTCAAATCAACTCAGTCTGATGATTTATGGTCCGGAATAGCGCGGATGACACAATTTATCATTTTCATACATTCTCCTCATTGCTGCCGAGTTCGTCAACCTCGACTTTCCTAAACATGACTCGCGCTCATTGGGAACAATTGTGAATAATGACCCCCCCCGGGCCGCGGCGCGTAACGCCGGCCACATACCGTGCTCCAGCCTCTCGTAGTCTGAGTCCAGCAGGAAGGTCTTGAAGCGGTTGGAGACGTGATGGAATGCCAAAAACTTGAGATAGTAACGGTTAAACTCGAACTCCGTGGGGTACTGATTGTGTATCTGAAGGAAAATAGAGACAAGAACATGATTTGAATGCCTGGGTAGGTTTGGAATGGGGATAGGACAGGATAATGGGTGAAGGTGGTTCTAATCGGTGACACGTTTTATCGAACATACAACCAGAAGAGCCCCCGGGGCAGCCAAGGTTCACCAGAGTCGTGTACGAACGCTTGTTTAATGGCGGCCAAATGATAAGCAGAGATAATTGTTCATCTGCTGAAAAGAATTTCTGTCTCAATATTCCCCGTGGTGTCTGCCAAGTGATACGGTGTGCTTTGTTCTGAGTGATGTTATGAGTACAGAACAAAGCACGGGGCATCCTGTAGAGAATATAAGCTAAGCCTCAGCAAAAATGGTTCCCAAAACACGTGTCAGAGAAGCGCTGGACCCAGGGGTAGGTAAAATTGTTTGATCTCCAGCTCTAGGAGGCAGCTCTCCATCAAACTGGGTATCCCTTAGGGGTCTACAAATGTGTCAAGGATGAGAGTGCTGCAAGCTTGTAACAAATGAATAAACTTATACTGGACATGCTGCAAACCTGTGGCACTGGTATAGTGCTTAGATCAGGGGTGGGCAACCTCGGCACTGCAAATACAACTCCCACGAGGCACTGATAGACTCTGAAAGCCACAGGCATGACTAACAGAGGCATAATGGGATTTGTGGTTCTACCATAGCTGGAGAGCCGAGGTTGCCTACTCCCTGGCTTAAAGGAACAATTCAAGCTGAACTCCAGGCAGATGTAGAAGACATCAATAAATGCAACTCTGTATTCATGAAGATTTGTATTTTGTAATCAATGCGGGACTTAGGATCAGGTGAGGATATCTGCTTTATTTGAGCCCCCTAGACCAAAATGAGCACTTAACCCTTGCAGTGCAGAGGTAGCCCCACTGGAAGGGTTAGGGTCCATTCACACTCATCTGCCTTGTCACAGAGGGGCTCGGCTTGCAACGCGGTGATGTGTTCTGAAAAAAAGTATGGCATGCTGTACTTTAGTTCAGCGCAGTGGGATGCGATGCAGTGCAAACGCCTCACACCCCGCTGTGCCCATAGAACTGAGTGAAATGTCACTCGTCACATTTCAATAAAGTTCTAGCAAAAAAATAAAGTACACATTGTGATGCACTGGGATTATCGCTAGGGCACTGTGCCGGGGCACCGCACACCGGTCACTGCGCTAATCACGTCACACAGTGTGAGTAGCAGAAGTTTTTTACGCCCCCAGAATTTTGTTTTTTAATAGCACACTCCTGTCAAAGCTAAAATGAAAATGATCTCTGAGAAGCATGTTGGTGATCTGATGGAGCACGTGATCTGGGAACCTCCTCATGTGTCACTTGCCCCTCCCTTTTAGATTGTAAGCCCTCATGGGCAGGGCCCTCCTTACCATCTTGTCTTGAATTGTATTGTGATTGTAATGTCTTCCTTATAATGTAAAGTGCTGTGCAAAGTGTTGGCGCTCTATAAATCCTGTATGATAATAATAATCTGGGAACCCCTGTTAGCGGAGCCACAGAGATATTTCCAGACACGCCCACTGCAGGATCCTTGCTTATGTAGAGAAAGCATTGATCTGGAGCTTCTCATAATAACCAATCACATTGAAAGCTTGAATCTGATTAGTGATAAAGGCCACAGCACAGAGAAGGCTACTGGAGGCACACACCTGACCACTGCACACGCGAGGAGCTCAGTGAAACATGGCTGCAGTGAATTACACAGAAACCATGAGGCTGTCTGACTGTACTGAAGGTGTAGAGTTTGCTGGATCACATTAACACTTCACTGACTGCTCTGCTGCTTGTGACGGAGCTTTAAGTAGATGACATTGGAGATGGAAAGCGGAGTTTATGTTGGTTACAACAACCTAGAATTGATCAATGACATCACTCGCCAACAGCGGCCCCAGATGTGCTTCTTCGAAAATAATTAAAAAAATACAATGGTGTCCTCTCTGCATTCCGGAGTCAGCTGACACCTGCAGAATCTGGCGTAAACAAGTTTTCATAAGTGGTTTGAATTTGGAAAGGACGCCATGTGTTCTCTGTATGGTATGCTGGACATGCAAGGACAGACACGCGTGTCCTGGAGACCGGCAAGCCTTAGATGATCCCATCAATGAGGAATTACATGCGTGCGGACTCCTAAGTCTTTATAAGTGACAAAGGGTTCATGGTGAGGGGTATTCTAGGTAAATGCTGCGTGTTCCATTACAATGCGTGCAGCTGGAAGCGCAGGAAAACAGCAACTGTCAAAAATCCTTTCCTTGGAGTCCACTGAAGGACACAGGAATTTAGATACTACCGGGTTATGCTGCTGCCTACACCCCCATAGTACCGCAGTACTGAGAGCATGATCATAAAGAGGTGGGATTTGTGTCCTCCAATGGACTCAATGAAAATAATTTTACAGTCAGAACAAAAATCCTATTTTCTCTAGGGATGCACCAATACCGGTTTTTCGGTAATGAGGAACGAGTACCGATATTTTGCTTTCGGTACTTGTTGATACCGAGTACCGATACTGGTGCTTCCGCTAGCATGGAGCAGGCTTCCCGGGCGATCTGATTGCCCGAGAAGCTGGCTCCATGCTGTCTGGCCGGCTTGATTGTGCTTGGCTGGCTTGATTGTGCTTGGCCGGGAAACCGGCTTCCCAGCCCTCCCAACTTCCTGATTGGCTGGAAAGGCAGCTTCCCGGCCAATCGTCTGGAAAGTCGGGAGGCGGGTCATTACCTGCCGCCCAGCTTCCTGATATAGCTTCCGGTATATCGGGGAAGGTATCGGAGCATTTGGCCGAGTACAAGTACTCCCCCAAATACTCGGTATCGGTGCACCCCTAATCCCCCCCCCC